TCTTTGTTGGAGCATTGAGGTAGTGCCTAGTTGTCTCTCAAACTATCTTAAACTATCTACATCTCTTCTTTCTGCTTCTTCGCTCCAAGTTCTCTCGTTTATAGATTCGAGTGGAGAATGCTGTTGTCGAAGCGATGAAAACGCGCATACATAGGCTAGAAGCGAATGTAACAGCTGCAGCAGTGCAACTCGCTCAGCAAAAAGTTATTCAGCAACGACTTTCACACAGGCTTCTTAGGTATTTTCGCCTTTTTTATTCAATTCTCTCAGCCAAGTTCCAAAATTATTTTCCAGGGTGCTTTCTATGCAAATGATGTCGCAGCGTTTCACGCAGGGAATTGATGCTACTGAGGAAAGTATGCAATCCGCTCTTGAGTCTATAAATGCTCGATTGAACGCACCTCATCAGATTAAGGCAAATAACGCAATTTGACCTGTAATTGTTTGCTCACTTTGCCCCTTGTTTGTAGGAACGCATTGCTGAGATCTCTGAAATGCTGCGAGTTGAAGACGGGACTTTGAGGTCTTCATTATCTAAGGAAACGGGTTTTATCGATGAAGCTGATGCCTTGAATCTGAAGAAATATTTGGATAGGTGCCAGGATGGCTTGGAAAGCCTTGTTGCAGTGCTTAATTCTAATCTTGAGGATATACAGTTGATGGCAGCTGCAGTGGATGCATAGGATAGATTACGTAATCCTCGTGAAAATTTTTTTTGCTTTTTTCATAACGTAGTGCGGCTACGGTTTTGCGCTCTTTTGACTTCGTCTTCATTTCGAATATCCTGAGGAACGCGGAAATTTTCACTCATCATTTCGATGTGCTTTCTCTCGTTCGTGTTCACAAACACCTAGCTTCAATGAGAAGCTGTTTTTCTTCCAATAGCTGCTGTCTTCTTCTATGTTAACTTTAATATATTCTACATGTACTTGTTGATCTTTCAGTATCACTTGACAAACCTTGCAACTCTTGTTTGTTAAATCCTTCGTTGATACATTGTACCTTAAAATGCATTTTCCCGATGAATTTTCTACTACATATCATGAAAAGTGTGCTGACTTCTTAGTCTACGCTAAACGTACTTGCTTATTTGTTATTTATTGTTTTGCTGCGCTAGACAGTGAAAGACATCCTTTAGACGATGACGTTAGATGACGATGAGCAGAGAAAGGCAGAGAAGAGAGCAAGGTCTGAAGCTCAACGACTTGAAAGCATCCGTGCGAAAAGGGAGCTTGAAAAGCAACGTCAGGCGATAATGTCGAAAGCGCTAAAAGAGGTTGACCAGAAAAGTAAAAGAGTTGTTTTTGAAGACAGTGATGAAGAGGAGGTGGGTTGTTCTTTGTATTATATTTGCTTTTTTTGCAGTTCATGTTAGCCTTTAAAAAATATCTTGAAGCTGCTTTCCCCTCATAAATCTTGTGTTCTCAACTTTAAGTTAGTGTTCATTGTTAGAAGTTCCATGTCTTTTTTCGTGT